CAACAACAATCCAACAACACCTCTCATTCCAATGATTCCCTGGTTAAGTACATACCAATCACGTACAACCCGGCACTTAAGGCCATATACAACCAGATAGCCAAGAAAAAGAATGTCCGCTTGGCATTTAGGAGGTGCGCCACAATATTCGATTGGCTTAGGAACGGAAATGACGCTCCAGACAGCAACAGACTTCCGGGAGTATACATAGAGACTTAGCTGTTGTCTCTATAATCGATCATAGAGACAACAGCGAAGTATTCTACATCGGGTCCACTAAACGCAACTTAGTAACTAGAATCAAAGAACACAAAGCGGACACCCTACATCATAGAAACAACACCGCCTTAGCGGTATACTCCTCCGACCCAGAAATAGAGCCGCTATTCCCTCTAGCCAAAATTATTCACACCACGGTCCGCACAGAACACCTCAGATGGCTAGAGGCCATACACATTTGCCTTAACACCCTCAGGAATAAGCACTGCATTAACTTCAAACAAAAAATGAAGATATCAACAGCATGGGAAGCCTTCCTCAATAAAACTCTAAAGTAACAACATACGGATAATGGGCAAGTCTACAATGACGCCATCGGTCACACGTCACAACGTTCCAAAAAAATTTTCCAAAACAACGGTTAATTCTGGAAATTCGAATTCATATAGGAAATTCCATAGCGCCTGAAAAACCACATTAGGTTCGAAAACGTTTGCAAAGTCCTCTGTATTGGAGAAAAAGAACGCCGGTTACAGGGTAAAGTTGGGTAATTTATCTATTCTGGAGTTAAAATTTCTGTACAGTTTAACTGTCTTACTTTCAAACAAGAAGAGCGATTCGGACGTTCTCTCGTCCCGTAATCCCTTTTGAGGTTGACATTTAGTTCCCCAAATAACAGCTAGATGAAAGCGCGTTAACCACGAATAAACAGACTTCCCCGTCTTAACCAATAGCCCCATCTTGCACCTCTTTCCGCTATATGTATTCGTGAATTGTTATTGTATCTATATACTGTATATATAGGTAGATACAATACCAACAACTTTTTCGCGGAGGAGGAGGAAATGGTGAACTTCACACAAGAGACTATGATCACCGCGGTCCTCTATGTATCGGAATAAGAATGTTCTGAGATTTATCAAATGATAAACCTGAGTCATTTTAACATTTACTTGTCATTTAATTTTA